AACGAATTATACTTAAATGAATCCAAAACACAAAATGTGGTATTTTCACTAAAAAAAATCGAACCTGCGAATGACAGTCCTAAATTTTTGGGGGTAGTTTTAGACCAGAAACTGCTGTGGGATGCGCACACCGAGATGATCTCAAACAAGATGAGTAAAAACGTTTTTTTACTGCGAAACTTATCTATGTGTGTTTCTCCGCAAGTGTTAAGGCAGACATACTTTTCGCTCGTGCATTCCCATCTAGGATATGCTCTCCTAGTATGGGGCCATGCAACAGGGGCGCAGAGGGTGTTTGCAATGCAGAGAAGGGCTGTCCGCATTGTCTCGGGTCTTGGGTACAGGGAAGACTGTAAAAAAGCCTTTATCACCAGCGGGATTTTGACTCTGCCTAGCGAGTTTATCTTGCAGAATTTGCTTTACGTGAAGGACAACTTTTTTCTCCAATACAATTGTAACAGTGATATCCACAGTCATAACACTAGAACTAGGAATAACTTAAGACCAAATTTCTGTAGACTTCACAGGTGCCAGAATGGACCTGGATACCGTGCCGCAAAATTGTTTAATAGGCTTCCAGAACAGACCATTAACCTCAATAGATCTCTTTTCAAAAAAAAGGTAAAAGAATATCTGATAAGAAAGGCTTTTTATTCACTCGAAGAATTCTACAACTCCACACTCATTTGGTCAAATAATAAGATTGAATAGTGCTGTTTTTTTTTATACCCAAGTTTATTTGTATGTTCTACATTGTGTATTTTTTGAATTTTGTATGTTATATTTTGTGTCTCTATGTCACTTTTAAAAAAGGAAAATTATGTATGTATTTTATAAAATGTTTTTTAGTAATTTACATTGTAATTTTAAGTAATGTTGTAACAAAATTAATATGACCTGTGTAAACACTATGTGTATCTAACACCAATAAACGATTATTATTATTCAATTAATATTTTATTTATTTTTATTAATATATATATATATATATATATATATATATATATATATATATATATATATATATATATATATATATATAAGAAATATCAAGTTTTTTAGGGCAAGTATTATGAAACTATTTTGACAGATAACTAAATGTTAACTTCTAGAGTTACTATGAGAAATACCGTCATTCCAGGAGTTAACTTCTAGTTATTCTATCAAAATAGTTTTATAATACCAACCCTGTCTATATCTATGAATGTCTTATGTATGCTTCTATAAACTTAAATTAACTTAACTATCTCTCAGAAAACAGACATAATACCTACTAGGTCAATTATTCTAAATTATCCAGTGCACAGGCTTTCTCTCACTAAGACTGGACCCACCTCGGGACCCACCTACCTAAATGTCTAAAAAACTCTTCAACTTTCTCCTCCAAAAATTAAAAATAACAGAAAACTGTTTTGAAAAACTTTTATTTCATTCAATAGAATCTTATACTATGATAAATGAATATCTAAATTACGAGGTAGTACCTACTTGAGTACCTACTAAAGATGCCACAAATAGTGATTTGGCCGAATACCGAATATTCGGCCACGCTATCGTTTGTACCGCCGAATATTCGGCGACAGATCTGTGGGTTTTGTGCGTGAACAACACGTCAGGACCTGTCTCATTCTCATCGCGTCGCCTCCGGTAACGACGGAATTTGGTTCACTTGAAAATATATCGTGTTATAATACGCATTATTAGCTATATTCTTTTGATCGCACGTTATTACTTATACTACTGTTTATCTTTAGCCAAAAGTTATCAAAATGGCACCAGTAATTAATAAAAAGTCGCCTATTTGATAGTATTGTGACTTGTTATTAAATGGGTACATTTTTGAGTAATATGTGCGTTTTTTTTTTCATTATTCAGCTTTCAGTATTCGGCCAAATATTCGGCTGAGTATCGAATACAAAAAAAAAATGGCCGAATACCGAATAGTAGCCGAATATTCGTGGCATCTCTAGTACCTACTAAACAACTATTTTGTTCATTTTATAAATAGGTACCTGTCTTTTTAACTGTTCTGTTCCTTTTAAGTAACACACCTTAGTACCTACTGAAATGATGAAATTTCCGAGGAAATTTCAAATTTTTTTATGTTGAGATTTTGTGTCTAAATGATCATTGGGGACCTTCCAAACTCCATACTCTAAAGCGAGCACTAAAGTATCCTGAGATTTGAAGCCTAAATCTATGAAAAAAAGCACTCAGAAAATTGAAAACTGATAAATTCACTCCAAATTGCTTAACACGATTTTATTTCTAGAACTATAAGTCCTAATGAGCTGAAATTTGCAGCGATTGTAATTTTCCACTGGGATAATACTTAGTTATGGGTCTTCAAAGTTTTTAAAAATTCAAATCATAAGGTTGCTACTAAGGGGTGGCTAATTGGTCAAAATCCGTGTACAAGTTGGTCAAAATCCCAGAAAATCTCATAAGATCTATTCAAAATCCTTGAAAATTTAACAAAATCCCACAAAATCTCTTGAAATTACATAAAATCCAACAACATCTAACAAAATTTCATTAAAACCAAAAAAATCCTGCAAAATCCCATAAAATCATTTTCATTCCTAAAAAATATTTCCTTTGAAATTCCCAAAAATCCTTTGGAATCCCCAAAAATCTGTTAGTTAGTTAGTCTCTCAGAATTCCATAATTTAGTGAAATTTTGAGGAATTACAGTAGAATTATGTTATTCTGAAAAAGGAATTATTGTTCGTCGATTTTTATCTGACACTTTCCATATGAGGAGCGAGGGGGTGAAGTATATGACAAAAGCAGGTATGACGTCAAGTGACCATTGGCGTTCTAATGTAGGGTGCCACCAGCTCACATTCCTGTCAGGTATCAGATCAAAATCGACGGACTTTACATATGAAATTTTTGCGTAGTTTCCATGAAATTCACATTAAATTTTAGTTCCTCTCGAATTACATGAAATTTCAGTGAAATTCCGATCGAATTACATGAAATCCTAAATGAATTGCATGGAGGAATTCCAAACAATTATATGAAATTGCATCGAAATTTCCAACATGAAATTTCAGTTCTTACTGAATTTTAGGTAAATTCCACAAGTGGAATACCAAGGAATTTCCGGTTAAAAACATGGAATTTCGGTGATATTTCGAAAAATTCCCATGTAATGACAGGAAATTTTAATATATTTCGGTGAATTTTCAAAAAATGACTTGAAGTTTCATTAATATTCCCAGAAATTCCTGGCTATTAAAAGAGAATTTCAATGAAATTCCGAAAAATTGTTATGAAAATAAATGAAATTTTGAAAAATTCCTAGAAGTTTCATTGGACTTCCGAGAAATCTTCGGCTATGAACGTGGAATTTCAAAATATTCTAATAAAATTTTAGTGAATTCACCGAATTCCGACGAATTTTTGAGAAATTACATGAAATGTCAATAGAATTCCGAAGAATTTTATGAAAATTATGTAGAATTCCAGGATATTTCAGAGATGAGATTTTGGGGAATTTCAGTCAAGTTAAAAAAAAATTATGGAATTTTGAAATTGAAATTTTAGTGGAATTCCGAGGAATTTCATGAAATTCTATATTTATACCTACTTCCGAAAAAAAATTGTCTAAGAATTTCATAAAATATTTTGGGGAAATGTTAAGGAATTTCTATGGAATTTCCTAAAATTTTCGCGGAATTTCTATAGAATAATTTGAAATTTTAGTGGAATTTCGAAGAATTTCAAAGTGTAATTCCGAGAAATTTTTGTTCAAGAATTCCATTGAATTTTATGTTGTAAAATTCGGAAAAGTATTATGTAATCTTATGGTAAAAGTTCTAGGACTTTCTGTTTTTCTATTCAAATTTGTCATTTGAATGGAATTTCGAGGAATTCCATAAAATCTTCCAGTGTAATTCTAAGGAATTTCTATGGAATTAACAAAAATTTTCGCAGAATTCCCATGGAATAATTTGAAGTTTTAGTGGAATGCCGAAGAATTTTACGAAATCTCATAAGTAGTGAAATTCCGAGGAATTTATAACTTCCCTAAAATGTTCCAAAATCACCTAAAACCTTTTAAAATCCTGTAAAATCATATTATGAAGATTTTCAAAATACTCGAAATCCTACAAAAATAATGAAGATTGAAAATCCTAGTTAAAATCTGTGTACATATTTTAAGGAGTTAACCACCCCTCGGTAGCTACCATCTTACTAAAATGATAAAATTTCTTTTTTTTTTTGTTGAGATTTTGCTCGAGATTTCGTACCTATATTAGGATACAAAATCTCGAGCAAAATGTCAATTAACATCCTCCAAACTTCATACACTAAATCATTCTCAGATTTGAAGCCGAAATCTATGAAAAAAGACACTCAGAAAAATTGAAAAATTGATAAATCACCCCAAATTGCTTAACACGATTTTATCTCAGGAACTATAAGTGCAAATGAACTAAAATTTTCAGGGATTGTAGTCCCTTTATTGAGATAAATTCCAGTGAAAATTTTAGCTTTCTATCTATAATAGAAAAAAAGTTATGCCCTTCCAAAGTAAGAATCGCTGAAAATTTCAACTTTCTATCTATAATAGAGAAAAAGTTATGCCCTTCCAATTTTTTCCAAAATCTAAATAATAAGGTTAAGGCTACCTTCATCCTAAAACAATAAAATTTCCTCGAAAATTTCAATTATTTTTGTTGAGATTTTGTATCCTAATGGTCAATTAACATCCCCCAAACTCCATACAGTAAATTATTCTCAGATTTGAAGCCTAAATCTATGAAAAAAGGGCACTCAGAAAATTGAAAAATTGATAAATCTATCCCAAATTGCTTAACGCGATTTTATTTCTGGAATGATGAGCTGAAATTTTCAGGGATTGTAGTCCTCTACAGGGATAAGAATCTCTAAAAATTTCAGCTTTCTATCTTCAATAGAAAAAAAGTTAATGGTTTTATTAATCTCAAATGAAATAGTACAATGTTTAAATTGGCGCTTTTGATATTCAGATAATGATTGTACAAGTCCCAAGATTGGCTAAAAAATGCTTGAAGGCTTAGTTGCATGGGCCCTAAACAACTATTTAGGCAAATACGTTCAGCTAAATACTGATCAGCTTAGCATTGCCTTACTATCAGGTAAGATATAAAGATTTTCCAGAAACATATTTAATCAAATTTGATCATTTTTATACAGGCAAAGTAGAACTAGAAAATGTACCACTAAAAACCGACGCCTTGAGTCAACTAGGCTTACCCATCCAGATCCGTTCAGGATTCATAGGAAAAGTAAAACTACAGGTGCCTGTTAGACAAATCCGATCTGCACCATGGGTTATTGCATTTGAACAATTGTATGTGGTGGCCAGTCCCTTGCCATTAGAACAAGTTTGTAGTTTTTTCAAATCAAAAACCAATAAGAGTAAAGTTGTGGTTTTTTAGTGGGACCAAGATAAAGAAAAAGCTGTGAGACATGACCTAAAAATATCAGCTTTGGATAATTTAGAGGCCAAATGGCGCATGGAAAAAGACTTGAACGACACCAATTACTATGCGTCTAGCTATTTTTCTTGGTACAGTTACAGCACTGGTTTTGTATCTGAAATACTCGAAAATTTACAAGTAAAAAACGTTAATGTTGATTGACAAATTTTCAATTAGTTTTTTTTAGCTTAAAATCAAAGATGTCCATATTCGCTATGAAGATTCCTACAGCATTCCAGGCAAATCTGTGGCATTTGGCATTACAATTGACTCTCTTACGGCCCAAAGTTGCGACAGCAACTGGACACCGGGGCTTATGCAATCAGCTCAAGGCACTCATTCTTTTAAACTATTGGAACTTGATGCGTTCGCCATGTATTGCATGCTTTTTGAACCTAGTCAGAGTTTTGTTAACTTGACTGTCAAAGAATTAGCAGTAAGATGTTGTTTGTGTAAACTTACAATTGGTGTATATTGTTTTGTTTTTAGGAAGCAATGTCCACTTTGGAATCGAAAAAGACAATAAAAGATTATATAGTACCTTCAGTAAGTGCACAGGCGCACTTGAAAAGAAACAGAAGCCTGCAACCGCTCAGGTCAAGCTCCACTCCTAGGATTATCTGTGATTTAATTTTAGATGAAGTACCTTTTACTTTAGTTGATGTTAGTTGATGTATTGTTTTTTACTGGTTTTAATTTGTTTTTTTTTGTAGTGGCAATACAACCAAATAGTTACCTGCATAAAAGGCTTGGAAAATATATCCAGAGTCAGAGCCTATCGTAGATATAAGCCTTGCAAATCGGTTAAAGAAGACCCTAAAGCTTGGTGGCGATATGCTATAAGCAGCCTTTATCCGGGAGGACAACCGAATATTTGCCAGACAAGGCCTACATGGGAATCTTGTTTGGTGAATGCAAAGCAAAATGTTAGGTATAAAACTAGTTATTTGATTTTTGTATAATTTTTTTATGATTTATTTTTATTTTAGTTACGTGCAAGTTTATAAAAAGCTTCTGGTCACACCAACTACAGCCTTGACAGCTGAAGAAACCAAAATCAAATATGAAGTAGAGTGGACAAGGGAGTACGAGGAACTCAAATCTCTTAGAGAGGTAATATATTTGTAACTATTTTGTTAAATAAATGTTATTATTAATAATGTATGTACAGGTTGCAATGAGTACAGTCACAATACCAGCCACAGTTGCCACCCAAAACCGTTCCAATGGCAGAAGCATGTTGGAAAGTTGGTTTCCACAATGGATGGGCTGGTACGCTTCATCCACCGAAAGTGCTGCACCAAATCCGGAAACTAAACAGCTAGAAGGAGAAATATTACAGGTGAAAATTTCCAAAGAAAAACATCCCTTTACTAAGTATTATTTGTAGGTTTTAGCTGACACAGCTGAAAACAACACAGTCCTAAAACGCGACGCTGTTTTTGGCCAATTTACATTTTGCCTTAAAAATGGCACCCTCAGTTTGTGTACAATGGATCAAGAAGTTAACAAAACGTAAGCGAAATCTTCCAATCAAACAACCATTACCAAGTAAAACTTTTAGTGACCCAATGATAGAGCTACAATTCAAAAATCTATCCCTTACCATCACAAGTAAACCGCGCACATCCTCCCATCAAGTAGAACTTAGTTTAGATGCTCTCTACTTAAAAGACAAAATAACAAGAGACACTCTATTTCCTATACTGGTGGGTCCTCCTGGCCACGATAGGACATCAATGGTTCGTCAAAAGCTATCCGGAAACGCACCAAGTCCAAGAAATTACAGTTTCAACAAACTAGAAGAAATCGAACAACAACTATTTTATTTAGTCTACGAAAAGAAGCCTCCTCATTCTGGCTGCGATTACAGGCTAAACATGAAAACCAAATGTCTAGATGTCGTGTATCAACCTAATGCTGTAAAGTGGCTTGTGAATTTTGTGTGTTTTCCCCATCAGAGGGACATAACGCAATCTAGGATAGAGGCTATGAAATCGAAAACTAAAAAAGAGCTGCTCAAAAATTGGGAACAAATTTTAGAAGGCCGAGTGGCGACTCGTAACGTCTGGGAATTAGAGCTTAACATATCGGCACCTCAGATTATTTTCGTTGAAGACTTTACCGATCCAAATTCGGCAGTGGCCGTTATTGATTTCGGTAGGTTGCAGCTGAAAAATAACGTTTCAAGCACCGAGCCACCGCAGAAATCTGAATTTATTGCCAAAGAAAGTGAAGATGATGGTAAGAAACAATATCTATAACTTATTTTAGAATTAGACACTTTAAGTAAATCCCAAATTTTTCTACCTATCCGTATCCGCATTCGTGAACGCATTGACTTACGTTGATCGCCTAAAAGTCCTTTTGGGCCCATTTTACAATGGACGTAACGTAACCGTAAAGACATAAGTCCTAAGCATGTGTATATTAGATTTATTTGCGTCAAATAAGTCACGGAAACGCAACGTAATAAAAAATGAGAGTTGGTCATCTCTTATGTTGCGTTTCCAGTGACATATTTGACGCAAATAAATCTGATGTGCGCATGTTTAGGACTTATGTTACGTCTTCACGGTTACATTACGTTTGTAAAATGAGCTCTAAGCATGGCCATACATTACATAAACGATCGTATCCTTTGTAAAATTTGTGCCGGAAAAATTTTGCTTTGTACTTGACCAATGGTAAGTAATGGGTTGGTGGTAATGGGCTGATGGGCTTTGTGTCATTCAATTGATTCCAAAGTGAGATTGCGTTAGTAAGGGCAAAAAATCTATTGGATTTTCCATATCTCTTACTCTAACCCTCTAAATCTCACAGATCTCTCCTGGGTCCTTATTCTCGAAACAGGGGAGTAGCGTTCCCAGGAGAACAAGTGTTCCGTCTATCTCAATGATATGCAACTGATAGTATGAGTAACAAAAACAGTATACTCGTTCTCCTGGGAACGTTGCTCCCCAGTCTCAAGAATAAGGACCCTGTTCTCTCTCTAATATTGGCCGCAAATAATGATTGAGATACGTTTTCGGATAAGGATACGAGGCTAAACCCGTATCGATACGGATAACGCAGCGCAACCAAATCAAATCAAATCAAAATAAGCTTTATTATCTTATAAGACAATAGTCTTGTTGACAAAGCATATACATTATAAACAAAAATCATCAATAATCAAAATCAAAATTTAAAAATAAAAAATCACGACTAACAAACAAAATGGTGAATAGAGCTGTAAAACTTAAACCTAATGTGTAAATTATAAAATACTGAACAAAACAAAAATACATGACTAGGTTTTAACAATATATAAACAATTAAATAAAATTCAAAAAATAAAATATGCAGAATGCTAAATGTCAATTAAAATCATTATAAAATTCGTCCACACTATAATAGGCCTTACCAACTAAAATCTGCCGAACTCCTTTTTTAAATTGTTTCATTGTAGGAAGCATCTTCACCTCATTGGGTAAGTAATTATACAGTTTGATACTTTCATATATAACCGATTTTTTGGTTAAAGTCGATGTAGGAATGGGCAATGGCAAATTGAGGTACTGTCGCGTATTGTAGTTTGAACTGCGGGGTGAAAAGCTCTGACGGTTTTTGTAGACAATACACACGGTTTCTAAAATAAACAGACTGTAGAGAGTCAGGATTTGCTGGTTCAAGAACAGAGCACGAATCTCTCGGCCTTGCACGACATATATATCTTACTGCTCGCTTTTGTAAAACAAACAATGTATTTAGCAGATGTAAGTTTGACATACCCCAGAAGCATATACCATATCTAAGACGTGACTCAATAAGTGCGTAATAGATGGTTCGTCCCATTGAGGGGCCCAGTTCATTAACGGTAACTCTAACTGCATAGCACCCTGATGCTATTTTTCTGTCCAGACCAACAATATGCGACTCAAACCTTAGTTCCCTGTCAATAACAAGTCCAAGAAACTTGGTATCAGGGCGACTTTTAATAATAGTATCCCCAATAAGCAAGTCCTCCAAGTCACACTTAAAGCTAACAATATTTGTTTTGTCAAAGTTCAGAACCAAAAGGTTGGAGTCACATCAAACTTTAATTTTCTCGAGGTCACCAGAAATAGACCTCTTTAAAGAGGCTGAATCGCGACCGTGCCATAAGACAGTTGTGTCATCCGCGAAAAGGGTAAATTTGCCATCAATTTTCAGGCTTGCCAGATCGTTGATGAATAACAGGAATAGAAGAGGACCCAAAACAGAACCCTGAGGCACCCCCCAGTCAATACCCCGACTCATCGAAGATCTAGACCCCATAAAAACTCTCTGTTGGCGACCAGTCAAATAAGACTCCAACCACGAGATTGCCACACCTCTAAACCCATAGTGATAGAGCTAACGCAGCAGAATTTCGTGACTGACACAGTCAAAAGCCTTAGACAAGTCACAAAACACTGCCGCGGCCACCCCACCCCCATTTAGCCGAGAATACAACTCCTCCAACACCCTAAACATTGCATCCTCAGTGCTTCGTTTTTCCTGAAAGCCAAACTGGTCACTACTTAAAATATTATTTCCAGCTATAAATGATGTCACTCTGGTTTTCACTAATTTCTCAATAATTTTTGATAGGGTGGACAACAAAGAAATAGGGCGATAACTTGAGGGTTCCTCTAAGTCACCTCCTTTATGAAGAGGAATCACTTTAGCGAATTTCAAACAAGACGAAAAAGTTCCGGACTCCCAAGAAGCATTAATTGCCCACGCTAGAATTTCCAGCACATTATTTGGCAGATGAGAAAATATTTTGGCAGAAAGCCCGTTCTCCCCTGCCGAGTTTTTATTCTTAATGCAGGAAATCGCTTCCCTTAGTTCAAAACGGTTAGTGGGCAGAAAAAAGAAAGAATTTTGCACTGATGCCTGCGTAAGATAATCAAGGGGAACCCTAGATGGAACAATATCCTCCGTGAGTTTTTTGGCTATCGTGCAATAAAAAGTATTAATTGTGTCTGGGGATAATTTAGATTCACAGACAGTTTGGCGAAATTTATTACTCTGGCGAATGTCATTTACTACCAACCAGCTTTCCTTTTGCTTATTTGGCGCTCTGCGCATACGATCAGAATAATAGGCATTTTTTGCTTCCTTCAATAGTTTTCTGTAAAGTGCTCGATATCTATTGAAGTAACTATGAAAATTCTGGTTTTCAGTATACTTCCTTATCATATGCAAAGAGCGCAGGTTCGCTGACGATGTTTTTAGGCCTTCCGTAAACCACGGTCTCTTATTTTTTTTCCTAATTTTTTGAAAGGGAAAGGATCTATTAAATACTCTTAACAATATTTCATAATAGGTTTGAATAGGATCCTGAGAGCTAAGAACAGTATCCCACGAAGCAATAGCACTCAATTGGTAAAACCTATCATAATTATTTCTGCTAAAAACTCTACCATACCTATATCTAAGTGCAGACTGCACTGTACACTTTAAGAAATTACATATTACTGCATTATGATCTGATAAACCAGCTTCAACAACAGAACAATCAACACTATTACAATCAAAATTAGAACAAACATAATCAATCAATGTAGAAGAGTACTGCGTGACTCCTGTTGGACATTTTACATGCATCTGCAACGAAACCACCGTATCTATTCTGCGCATATACGCAGATCGATGCGGATACGGATACGTTTGAAATTCAGGACCTGCTTAAAGTCTATATTATCAAATATTTTCAGAAACATTTTTAACTCCATGCTCCACCCCTCCAGTAAGTGAAAACAGTGGAGATTCTGAAGAACAAACCTTAGAACAAATATCACTAATTGAAGACTTCAAATTAGATGAAACGAATTTGCATAATAAACTTTATGATTGCTACAGTTTAGATTTAAGCGACTTACAAATACTCATAGGTAAAGCCAAAGAAAATTGGAGGTTTGCTTTAAATAAAGGTTCATCAACCCTACACGTAGTAGACAGATTCAACATCTCCTTGCAAATAGAAAGGCGGGTAATTTACACAAGTGATCCCCTATTTCCGAGCCTCACCCTCAACGCCAACTTACCTAAATTAGTGGTACATTTAAACGAAAACAAAATCTGCTCAGCAAGAAATCTTATTCATTTAATCATGTCCACTGGACTACCAAGCCCTTTCAACACCCAAGAATCTTTCGAAATAGATACAGTAGATTATGCTAGAGACAATGAAGACAGCATCAGCTTGGACACAAGCGTAGAAATGTCCAGATTATTAATGATGCAATTCACAATAGACCAAATGTCTTTGGAACTACAAAGTCGAGGCAGATCAGTGGCCGAACTCCAAGTAGCCAGCGTCAAAGTGGCTTTTGCAAAACGCGCCGAAGATACCAGCATAACTTTAACTGTTCACAGTTTATTGTTAGTGGACGCCCTACAAACCTTTGGTCCAGATTTTGAGCTTTTAGTAGCCAGTCACAAGCATGTGGGCATGGATTCAATGTCTGGTAGTATTCGAGATAGTGAGCCAACTTCGCCTACTTCGCCAGGAAGTCCCGACCCAAACGCAGTGCGACAAGGAGCTACTTCTCCTGTATCGCTTAGTCAAGCTTTGAGTACTTTGTCTTCTGATCCTCCTAAATGGCCTGGAAGTTTAAGGAATGGGGTTTTTATGGATAGTGAGGCACTTATTACTATTGAAGTATGTTTGGTGGCTGGTGTTGAGCCTATGCATATTGCCAATGTTCAAGTAAGAATGTTTAGTTTTTATACAGGCATTTAATTGACTTATTGTTTCCTTAGTTTAATAATTTGGATATAATAGCCAATCAAGAAACTATAGTAGAACTAGTAGGCTTTGTAAGAAGGGTATTTCCAAAATCTCAAAGGGCTTCAGGAATGAATTTGCCTTCTGTGATTCCGGCAAGTGTTAGAGAATCAACTGAATCTTTATTGGAAGATAATACAAGATCTATAAGTAAGTTAATGTGTTTTTTAAAATTAAATTTTTATTAATTTTGTATAATCAAGCTGGAACTACAGAACTTACGTTTGATTTCCACCGTCTAAACGTCTTGCTTCTAAGAGGTGTAGTAAGAGATGGTGTTTTGCATGGTAGAAAAATTTGCACTGCTACAATGAGTGAAGCTAAAATACAAGCAACTGTGGCTGAGAAATTGGAAGTGGAAGGTTCACTAGGTGGGCTTCAGGTGAATTATTTAAAACCTTTAAAAAAAACCCTAATGAAAAACAAACAATCAATTGCAGGTTCTAGATCTAACACCAGAAGGCCAAATGCACCAAAGAATAATAAGCGTGGGCCGAGATCCGCTTATAGAAATGCCCCATCCTCTCTACATGATGCAAGGGCCTCAAGAAGACGACAGGAAAGCTTTTAGTTTCAAAGTAATCAGAAATCTAAGAAAATCCAAAGACATTGCTGAAGTAACCATTAGAATGGCTTCGTTATGGTACACTCATTCGCCCATGTTTGTTGTTGAACTACAAAGCTGTGCCACAGAGTTTAAGCAATATTTAACCAATTTGGCTCGGTAACGGCCCTGTTTATTATAAACTAATTATCTTATAAATGTCTTAATTATAGGTCTATTCGTAATGCAGCTACCGATATGGCTTTGGGGCTGGTTCACGCACGCGCCGAAGCCTTAGCTCAGTCTCTCAGTATGAATAAACGTTTGCCAAGTTCAATTTATGGCAGCACCCTGTCTTTTTCGGAAAGCGTTTCACCTGGAAAACGCAGAAGGAGAAGCAGTAGCAATGAGGCTAGTGGATATGCTTCAGCAAAAGATACTATGCCACAGACTCCTTACAGTCCTGGGGAGGAAGAGTCTTTTACGATTGGTAAGAGTATTGAAGTAAGTGAATATTGGTTTAAATAGTGATTTTCAGATGTCAACTTGGATATTGAACTAGACAGTCCTGTTTTGGTATTACCGAGGTCCAATTCCAGCCCCGAAGTGTTTGTAGCCCATTTGGGTAAAATAAACATATCGAATAATACATTAAATTGTCCTGTTAACAATGGATATGCTTATGATGATTGTAGAAAGGAGTATTACGAAATTGAGGTACCAAAACAAGTTAATCTTGATCAAAATAAATGCATGACTTTTTCATAACAGTTGATATAGGAGGAAAAGAAATGAGAAAAAAGCACATTATTCTACAGTGAAGTTTCAATAGTTTATTTCTTTTTAAAAGGCATGTACAGAGTGTCCCATTTTGGTTGTACATAAGGTTGCAAGGTGTTTTCGGAAATATTGCATTTTGGGACATCCTTTTGTATCTCGGTTCCCTTATAAGTAATCAAAAAAGGGTCCTTATAGATCTTTCTACGTAGATTCCAGTAGCGAAGTCAGTTTTTCTCTAAAAGTGATGTTTTTAAATTATGAACCAAACATACGTTTTTTCCAAGGGGCAAACCACCTAGGAATTCTTCGCCAAAACTCTGGGGAATTTAGAGAAATTTGTGGGGAATTTGGAGGAATGTGTAAGAAATTGGGGGAATTTATTGGTTTTAATACTAAGCGTGATAAAAATAGAAAAATACATTTCAGATCACAAACAGTTTTGGGGGTTTTCAGGGAATTTGTAATTAGGCATTTGCAGGGAATTTGTGAGCCATTTGAAGGAATTTTGCTCTCTAGCACAAGCAGGGATTGTAGTACCTTGATTGGGATGAAATTCAGTGAAAGTTTCAGCTTTTTATCTATAATAGAAAAGAAGTTATGACCTTTCAAAGTTTTCCAATATCTAAATCATAAGGTAGGTACCTTCTTACTGAAACAATGAAATTTCAAATTTTTTTTTTATCGAGATTTTGAATCCTAATGGTCAATCAACATACCCTAAACTCCATACACTAAATTATTCTCAGATTTAAAGCTGAAATCTATGAAAACAGGCACTCAGAAAAATTGAAAAATTGATAAATCACCCCAAATTGCTTCACACGATTTTATCTCAGGAACTATACGTGCAAATGAGCTGAAATTTTCAGGTGTTGAAGCCCTTTGAGTGGGATAAAATTCAGTGAAAGTTTCAGCTGTCTATCTATAATAGAAAAAAAGCTATGACCTTTCAAAGTTTTCCAAAATCTAAATCATAAGGTAGGTACCTTCTTACTGAAACGATGAAATTTCAATTTTTTTTTTGTCGAGATTTTGTAACCTAATGGTCGATCAACACACCCCCAACTCCATACACTAAATTTTCCTCAGATTTGAAGCCGAAATCTATGAAAAAAGGCACTCAGAAAAATTGAGAAATTGATAAATCACCCCAAAGAAAACTTATAAACAGTTTCGGTTTCAGGATGCCCAAAGATGACAAAATCGCATATAAAAAATCCAGGTCCATATTTGAAAAAAGTAAGTTGTAGATGGTCGCCTGAAAACGAAACGTCGGATTTTAAATTTAGTAGTACCATCTTCTAAAGGGGAAAAATTGACAATGATGAAGTGACATTTATTTTAAAATTGCTTTTCAAATAAGCCTGGAAAAAAATAAGAAAAATTTTACAAAATTTCGGTTTTTCTGAATATATCCGGAAGTATTCGGAATCTTGTCAATTTCAAAACTGCATTCTATTGGTGATAAAATTGCGCAACTTTGACATAATCCCAATGATGAGGTTCGAATTTGGGCCACCTTGTACAAATAAAACGGGACACCCTGTACATATACATCAAATTTACTTTAGTTCCATATTGGCTTGGCCCAGCAATTACTGATCAGTCAATTTAATATTTAAAGCTTATTCTATTGTAGGTTAAAGATATGAATATATTTTCTCTAAATACAAAATCCAGAAGAGTGCCTGGGCCAATTATAAGCAGGCCAGAAGTGTTGTACAGTTGCAAAAGTCAAGCCAAGCCAATTTTACACGACACAAAGTTACAAGTGAAATTAACTAGAGAGATTCACATGGGGGCTGATAGTGAATCAATCCTGTTGGAATATGAAAATGAGGAATCACAACTTGAAAAAGTAATATGCCTACTAGAAAATCTTATCAAAATTATTCTAATAAAATTTTACAGCCTTCTGAACGTATGGAAATCTCTGGCAGCATTGTTACAGCTTTAAAAGTGTCTCTTACAAGATCCCAATACATGCAAGTTTTAGATACTCTACAATTTGTTACGTCTTCGCCTACTTTAAGCGAGTTTCACAATATTTTAGAGCTAAATTTGCGACAACAGCCTGTTTTAAGTAATATTTGTGAAGAAGATACAGGTACTTAATTATTATTTTGCATACAAAATAATGTATAAAAACAAAAAATTTTAGGTGTTACAACATTAAATATGGATCCTCACGTACGAGCTAAATTATTTTCACGTACCCCTACCCATAATAACATTAATGGCCCTTCAGATCGCTTAAAAATGTCAATAAAACTAAACTTCGAAGTTCCTGTTTTCACTGTAGAGCTTCGCGGCGATGGCCCAAATGGCGAACAAGGCTTAGTCGATCTGAGTTTCCGAGATTTCGTTTTCGACTATGAAAAATACCAAATATTTGAAACAAACATACAAGTCTCATTGAGATCCATATTCATGGAGGATTTACTTCAGCCTGAAGGTTCCAGGCAACGTGCCATGGTAATATCTTCTAGCAATCTGGAGCCTCCTCCAAATACCAGCTGCATGTCGCGATCTTGTCCGGATATGACTTACAACTATCATATGAGGTCTGTTTCACATGGATCTTTGCCAGATCATTTGGAAGCTGCTAATGTTTTTGGGGTTGGGAATTTTGGACAACATAAAACAAATGGGTAAGAATTTTTTTCAGGATTTTTGCAGCAGTTGATTAATTTTTTTTTAGCAGCTATATTGCAGCTAACTATTGCCCCACTACTCCACCGCCTAGTCCTAGTCACGCACAACCTCGTCCACAAAGAAATTTGGTGCTAATATCCAGCCTTTTGGTGGACCCTGCTGCACCCAATTTTGACACTAAATATCACTCTACACAAAGATCTACTTCGGTAGACTTTAACTGTTTGGATTTGGTTATAAGTGTGCCTTCTTGGGTAGTAGTGATTGATTTTTTTAGTGACAACACTAGTGCCAATAAGTACGGTTCAAATGTGAATTTGACTAGTGGCAGTGAGGGGAGTAAAGTTGCTAGAGGGCAAAAAAATGCCAAGGTAATACTCAATATAATTATAAGAAAAATATTTTAAATCAATAATATTATTTTAGGTGGTTACAAATATAACAGTTTGTTCACTAACAGTTGTCCTAGTAAAACCTGACAGAGATATAGCAAAAGCCAACATATCAAATGTAGAAATTACAGTGAAAACCAAAGGGTTACATAAACGGGTTAAAGGCAAATTAGGTTCAATGTCTTTATTAGACTTGACGCTTCACGGGCAACTTTACAAAGAAAGATTTTTGACATCTGGTAAAGAAGCTCTACAATTCAAATACGAAAGACAACCTCCTAATGGTAATCAAGAATTCGACGCCCAATTAATCCTAGATATGGCTTCCGTAATGTATGTACACACCAAAAGGTTTGTAGCAGAAATTCAAGCATTTTTTACCAAGTTTACTGAAAAGCAAGAGACTGTTTTGAAAGGTATTCAAGCTGCTACAAGTGGAAAAACTACATCTCGTAACCCTCTACGGCTATCCCTTATTCTTAAAGCTGGTTCACCTATTATCCTATTGCCTGTCAGCTCGAAATCTACTAATCTAGCCATAATAGATTTGGGCAAGCTTCTAGTAACAAACACCTTTAAATTTTCTGGAGATGAAGGCACTATAAGCACCCAAACAGAGCAAAATAAAAAATGCTTATTAGAAGTAATGCATATTGAATTGGAAAACATGGATCTGTATACTGGAATTAAAGAAAGCGAATTGAGTCCCACTAAAAATAATAACAGCTTCAAGTTTGGCTCGTCATTTATAATGCGCAAAGGGCCATCATTACTAACAAAGAAATTCCAGTTGAAGCTGCAATATGAAAGAAACTTACACAAAGACCTTTGCCATATAGTGCCAGACTCTAGCATCTATGGACATTTATCCACGCTGGATTGTGTTTTGGATTTGCAACAATATAAACTTATAAGAGGATTATTGGCTTATAATTTGGGAGAGGACACTGAAAGGATACATCCTTCTGTGCCAGGACAAAATGTTATGTTGCACGAAGAACTACAAGAAGAATGGATTATTTCCTCATTGAAACTAGACATGCAAAATGTTTCTGTGAGATTAGTCAAGTCCCATAAGCATCATTCACCTTTGACTTGTATCAATTTCATTAAATCCCATTTGACAATGGAAACTTTCAGTAATCTTAGCCAGGATATTGATTTGGTGTCTCAGGAAATATTAATAGTTGGTTAGAATTTAGGTTTTTTTTGTAAAATATTGTATGCCTAATATTGTAATTTATAGATACAAGATTTCACGGAAGCGAACCTGAATCTCGCTGCAACGTGTTTACAACTATTTTGCAGCCAATCAAAGAAGCCAGCAATAAAGATTTAGTGCAAGCAGAAGTGCACTCAAGACGTCGTCAGGATCATACTAAAGTTACTATTTTGTTGAATAATATGAGGTAGGGGTTTTTTTAAACTAATTTTTTTGTTTATTCAGTGTCATTTTGCAGATTGATGGCAATATTTGATTGGTGGGAAGCGGTCAGGGAGTATATTTTTCAAGAAATTGACAATGTGCAGGCCAGCCCTGAGCGTCAAGCAGGCAGAATGCCTTCTAACCCACCAAAAGCACAATCTTTCGAGTTAAAATTAAATGTTACCGATTCTGAATTGGTTCTAGTTGAGAATTCGGCTCAGTGGGATTCGAACGCAGTAATTCTCAAGGTAAATCTTCTTTGTGATATATTCTATTTGTAACATGTTTTTGTTTTCCAGAGTACAACAGTAATAAAATATAGACCCAACCAAAAAAAACCCTTATCTTGCAGCCTCAACAACTGCGAAATGTTCTCTTGCGTTTTGGGCAAAGAAAACGAAACCGCTCTTTCCATTATAGACCCCATTACCCTCAACGTAGACTTAGTTAAAGATGGTTTATTAGAAGTACAACTGCAATTCCTCACTGTTCGTTTATCGTATCACGACATGTGCATGTTCAAGCAAATGCTGGATTCGTTGCCTAAACAAATGCCTTCGAGCAAAGACAAGCAAATAAATGCGAAACACAAAAACCAAATTCAAACTTTGACTTCGCTAGGCTTTAAGCATCTGGATTGTGTTCAAGCTTTGGAATTGAGCGATAATAGATTGGACGATGCTGCAATTTGGCTGACGCAAAACGCTAAAGATTTTGTGGATGTTTCTGAAGAAAATTCACTTAACATTCATGCAGTTGAAGTAAGAATTTTTCTTTTTTTTTTTTTTCTTCAATTTAAAAAATATTTATTTAAGGTAAAAGCTAATTGCATATCGATTTGTATTATTGATGATTGCGGAGACTCTGATGTTCCTTTGTTAGAATTATCGTTGTCGGATTTGGAACTGAGACAAGTTATCCCGAAATGGGATGTTAATAATCCAGCACCTTTAACAGCCACTTTGCATTGTAGTTTGGCTGGGAATTATTACAATAGGGTTTTATCTGGCTGGGAGCCTATTATTGAACCTTGGGTGTAAGAATTGAATCTATAAGATTTAGTTTTATTTAACATTTTCTTTTAGGTGTAAAATCTCTTGGGAACAAGCTCAAAATTTAATTAAAAATCGCTTAATAATTCGTGTTTTGTCTGAGCATACTTTCAATATAAATATTACCTCGACACTAATGAGCCTTTATAAGCAAGTAAAAGAAAACTGGACGTCTGATTTAATGAAAACGTCTCAAGGAAAACTACGATCTCCTTTTGTGCCGTTTGCCTTAAAAAACGACACAGGAAGCCCTTTAAAATTCACCACTCACATTAGTGAGTTAAATGTGCCCAATAGGCCGGTAGTTCAACATAATGAAGACAATTGGATTTTGGCAGAGCCTGGAGAGACTGTGCCCTTTTCTTTTACTACAAGAGGTAAATAATTTTGCTGACAAAATGAGACAATTAGGAATTTTTATTCTTCTAGACAAATTGAGGCATCAAAATTCTCACAAACTACGCATGCATCAGTTAGGAGTTAAAGTTGAAGGTTGGCAATGTATTGAGCCAGTGACTGTCGATAAAGTTGGGACCTATTTTAGAGATACCCTTGCTGAAGCTCAAAATAAAGTAAGAGTTTTTGAGGCAGCAAAATTTGTATCAATTTGTGTGTTTTTTTTAAGTATTCTGACGTTCCATCAGCCAGGATAGTATTTGATATAGCCCTAGAAGGTTGTGCAAGAAAATTAGTCACCATAAGATCAGCTTTGACAATAATCAACAATTTATCTCAGTTGGTTGAAGTGAAGCTGGAAAGCAGGTTGCCACATGATAGTGTGACCTTATGGGTAAGCTACTCATAGATTTTTTTGTCAGGTTTTGACTGTATAAAATAATCATCAGTGTTGACAATAGTGCCAATTTTGATTATTACCGGCTCTTGATTCATATGATGACCAATCTTGTTTAAGTGGTGGTTGAAACGACAGTGGCCAACTAGCAGTCCAGTGAGAATGTGCAGGTCTTTTCTGCTCCATTCCAGGATCTGCTTTGTGTAGTTTCTAGAGGGTCCCTTTATAAACGCCTTGGAGCGGGTAAGACCATCAGTGCTATTCCAGTGAGATTATAGTGCCCTTAGCATTTGATTTTGTGGGGCCTAGAACCGGTTCTAGTCGTATGAAGCCGGCTTGCGCTCTCTTTTTTACGAGGGTGTCGGCTTTCTCGTTGCCTCCATGCTCTGATGCGCCGGCACCCAGAGTAAGGTTACCCTAGCAAAGTAAGGGACTCTATGCACTGATGCAGTTCCTTACCTGTTTTGAGGAAATCCGGTAGGAGCCCAGGGCTTTCAGCGCCGTCTGGCTATCTGACACAAGATATATACCATGGTTTTGGTTGTGGTTGTGGTGGAGCAATCAATTAGCTCTCTGGCACACAGAACAACGGCACAAACTTCTACCAGGTATATAATAATATAATATAATAATATATTACGAAATTTTCACAGATGACTCACAATAAATGATGTTCAATTTTTTTTTTACATATTTTATATATACAGGGTGTATATTTTAAGTGATACCACTGTTACTATATCCAAAACGGTAAGAGCTACAAGGTCGGTTAAATTAGAGAAAAGTTGCCTTTTTTGATGTCCATTCAAAACTTGTTTACAGTGTTGTCAAATTCCTTTTAGTTTATGAAATAGAGGGTGATTTCTTGAAACCAAACCGCCAAAAACTATTTCATCAACTATTTCGAAAACCATTGATATTCAAGACACAATTTAAGTTTGAAAGTTTTATAATTTTTTTCGCTCTACAACATGACATCTTCAAATTTTGAATCCGACATTTAGTGATCGAGCTTCCATCATCAACTTCATTTTTTTTTAATATGGACCTGGTCTTTTTATGTCATTTTTACAAAGGGAATAAAACGCACTTTCTAAAAATGACATAAAAAATCCAGGTTCGTATTTAAAAAAATGAAGTTGATGATGGTAGCTCGATTACGAAACATCGGATTTGAAATTTGATGACACCATGTTGTAGAGCGAAAAAAATTTAAAAACTTTCAAATTTAAATTGTGTCTTGAAAATCAATAGTTTTCAAAATAATTTTGGGCGTTTCTTAGAAATCACCCTGTATTTCATAAAGTAAAAAGAATTTGGCAACACTGTAAACGAGTCTTAAATGGGCATCAAAAAAGGCAACTTTTTTCTAATTTAACCGACCTTGTAGCTCTTACTGCTTCGGATATAGCCATTGTGGTATCACTTAAAATATACACCCTGTATATACAGGGTGAGTTACTAAGCGCGCGGTCGTCCATATCTCCTATACTAACGGAGATCGAAGAAAAAACTAAATACAAAACTTGTAGATAAACATGAGAAATACGTTCCTAAATTATTTTCCAGTATGTATACAGGGTGGCCCAATAACTAGTAGTGACACAAAGTTATGTTTTTTTAAATGACATCCCCTGTATATTCTATTCTAGACATATTTCATGTACAATGTCATATACCTATCTTCAACTGTTTCAGAAATATTGACAATTGAAAATTGACTTTTTCGCATCTTTGACAGACTGTGAAACCTAGACGGTTAATTTTAGAGGAAAACGGATTTCACATTCCTATCTTAGATTTTAATAGCTTATCATTTGACACCAACTTTGAATTTAACCGAAAATTATTAATTTAGGCGAAATTTTTAATCTTGGATTAAATTCAGGGTCGGTGTCAAATGATAGTTTATGAAAAACCAAGATAGGAATGTAAAATGCGTTTTCTTGTAAAATTAACCGTTCAGGTTTTACAGTCTGTCAAAGATGCAAAAAAGTCAATTTACAACTGTCAAAATTTCTGAAACAGTTGAATATAGGTATATGACATTGTACATGAAATATGTCTAGATTTTTTCGCAGAATCCATAAATGCTATAATATACAAGGGGAGTCATTTAAAAAATATAACTTTGTGTCACTACTAGTTATTGGGCCACCCTGTATACTGAAAAATAATTTAGGAAGGTAGTACTCATGTTTACCTACAAGTTTTGTATTTAGTTTTTTTTTCGATCTCCGTTAGTATAGGAGATATGGACCACCGCGCGCTTAGTAACTCACCCTGTATACAGTGTGTCCACTTAAGTTCGCAGCATATGGGAAACTTTTTTATTATCAATTTTAAGAAAAAAAGTTATTCTTTATAAAAGTTCCTGCTTCTTGAAAAAATGCTACTAAACTATCAAAATTTGACATAGCATATACAGGGTGATCAGAAAATAGAAAAATATACAGAATTTTTTGGAAAAAAAAACGGTAAAAGTAGAAAAAAAAATGGCACATCACTATTTTTTAAAACCTTTGATATTTTTTTCAGATTCAGCAAGTCATATTACAGTCAGAAGATACCTTTCGTTATCACAAACAGACCTGTTAAATTTGAAAAAAAAATTGAAAAAAGGATTATTGAGCTAAAAAACGATTTTTTCTAAAACTTTGACACTCTGTATCTCAGAAACTACGCATTTCCGGACACATGTTTATGGGAACTTTTTTTCTTAAAATATTGTAAGGAATCACATCCTGAAGTTACGAACCGTACTTAGGAAACACCCTGTATATTTTTCTAGTTTTTGACCACCCTGTACATGCTATTTCAAGTTTTAGTAGTTTAATATTACTTTTTCAAGAAGCAGAAACTTTTATAAAGAATAACTTTTTTTCGTAAAATTGATAATAAAAAAGTTTCGCATATGCTGCGAACTTAAGTGGACACGCTGTATATTTTTATAGTAACATTCATCTTGAGGTTGATTGAGAATTCAATCCTGGGTCTACTGCTGAAGACTCCAGCTCCAATACCATTAGGGTTTCCAGAGCCATCCGTGTATAAAACAATGCTTGCCTCTAAAAAGAAGATATTACCCTCTTTGTATCCTTAGTAAAACATCTGTTTTGCAACATGTTTTTGATCCGGTTGCAGATGATTCTGTGGACTCCCCTACTCAATACTAGAGTATGGGGGTCCAGGTAGGACATTGTTGAACTTTCCTTCATGTCGAGAAAAGCTGCCAAAGCAATTTCTCCCTGATTTAGGAACTGCTTGATCCTTCTTACAAGGTTGTTTAAAGCCAAATCAGTGGACTTTTCAACTTGTTAAGCATATTGATGAGGACTTAGGAGATACTGCGACTGCCCCAAGATCATAGGCGTCGAAACCATGGGGGCAATGGGGGCTTGAGCCCCCATAGTGAATTTATGTATTTTTTTTGGTATTTGGTATTGTATGTAGTGTGTGTAGTGAGTAGATACAAAAACATTGTGTTCCTGATCCTAACATTCCTAACTATTTATTTTTATGTCAAACTTGTGTGTTTTATGTTTTTGTTGTTTTTGCTATGTCGACTTTGAAAAACAGTTCGAATATTTTTCTGTTTAGTATAGTATAGTAAATTTCAGAGGCCTTAATACAAAAAGCTTAGATGACAGATACCCATTACCCAACACAACGGATCTCTTGAACAGGGACATTGGGACACTGCCAGTATTTCACCTCCTTAGATTTAGCTAGCAGCTTCCACCAGATCCAGATGCATGAGAACGACATCGAAAAAATCGCATTCAGCACAGAAAACGGGCATTATGAATTCTTGCGCATGCCCTTTGATTTGAAGAATGCGCCGGCTACATTCCAAAGAGTTATGGATGATATTCTATATTCCAATATATTGAGCAATTTTAACACCGAAAGATATAACATCGCATTAATAATATTTATATATTTTTATACAAGGGGAAAGAGTATTAGATTTTAGAGCGAGATGTGGTTTGCCTTCCGTCGTGAAGCGGAGAGAGACAACAACTCTACGGCTTACCCAAAGTTCACAAACCTGAAATCCCGTTAAGACCTATAGTGAATGCACCTGGAACAACATTATTTTTTGGAGTCTAAGCCCTCATAGTAATTTTGAAATTCCGGCGCCTATGCCCAAGATCTTATCCCTAATATGCAGGTCAAGAATGCGCTCTAAAGTTCATTATCGAACTGGTTCCGTACAAGAAGCTCTAACGTCTGCCTTATTAAGTTCGTGTAGGAGCCATCCGGTCATTTAACCGAACCGATCTCTTGATTCGCTTTACGGTATTTGTCCCAGTAGCCTGTACCCTTGGCCCGACTAAAGAAAATACAGACCCCTTTTCACATTTTATCTACCCAACATACTACTTTTATTATTGCCTGATTTGCTGGACAATTTTACTAGAGACAATCAAGAGCCGGTAATAATAGTCCAAATAATTAAAAGCCAGTAATAATCAAGAAAATATGTATTGATAAAAATGTTCTTATTGTAGATACCAAGTAAATCATTCGTAATTGACCCAAAAGCAACTCTAGCAGTACCACTGGCCCACACGCATTCCCAACTGCAAATCCGCCCTACAGGATTATTGCATCAATACACCTACTCTTCCACTGCGGTGGCTTGGGATCAAATGCTCAACAACGCCGATAGGATGTTCGTTTCGGGCACGTGTCACACGCACAAGGGACACAACTTTAGGTTCTGCGCAGAAATCGTCAAGGAAAAAGTGCTCATAGAGCGCAGCACGCGCATAGAACAACCTGCACATCGGATTATTTTGTATCCTACAGTTAAGTTGGTTAACTTATTGCCGGTGGACATGCAGTTTTTTATGGCAGGAGAAAAGGGAATCGTGAAAGCCGGACAAAACGCTTCATTGACCAACGTAACTAGTTATTTAAATTAAAAATGTATAACTTTTAAGTTGATTTCAGGTGGATACAGATGAGACAGTGGAGCTGGAAATCAGGATTGAAAACTTCAGTACATGCTCTAACATACTCATACCATTTGGTACTTCAGAATTTTCAGGCAGGATACGATTAGAGGACAGTAATAAGCGAAAACTATATCTGATTGCTGAAATATTTGTCAATAGAGGTGCAAAATTGAAAGTAACTATTCACTTAAACACATAATTACTTTTTCAAATAAAATTTTCCTAGATCAACATTTATGCCCCCTATTGGATAATGAACAAAACAGGCTTACCATTAGTCTTCAAACAATCTGGAACCTCTACGGAATCAGCTGGACAATTTGATGAACACGAACAAGCTAGAATGATATCACCATTGCTTTTTAGCTTTTCTGATCAGGACGCTAACAGTACAATTAACGCTAGAGTGGGCAGACGAGTTGTTTGGGATGGAACGGCACAAGTAAACATTCAGCTGTATGAGTTTCATTTATTTAACAAGTTTTTTTAGTGGTGCTCAAATTTCCATGCACGTAAAGGCACCCAATACAGAAAATTGCACGTGACAATGCGCGACAGTAAAACTGATCGAGTTTTTATTATTGGCATTGAAGTGCGACAAGGCAGAGGCAAATATAGAGGCACCCACATTATTTCTATATCTCCAAGGTATCAGTTACACAATAGGAGTTCTTATAAGTTGGTGTTTGCTCAATCATATCTTGTAAAAGAAGCGGTAAAAAATTTGTCAATTAATTTGTGCAAATATTGATTGTTTTTTTCTAGAATGATAATCGTATAAGTCAAAAAACTTTCCTAAGGGCTTTGCCTAACTCTTACATGCCCTTTCACTGGTGCAGTTTAGACAAAGACCAACTTTTATGTGTTTCAATTGAAGATATCCCAGACTGCTGTTGGTCGGGGGGTTTTAAAATCGACACCAATAGTTCAATGCACATTAGCATCAGAGATCCTAATTCTCGAGTGTATTTCTTACGTCTAGAAGTTGTACTACAAAGTGCCACATTTTACGTAATATTCACTGATGCAGACACGATGCCGCCGCCAATAAGAATAGACAATTTTTCAGAGGTTGCAATTAAATTTGGGCAAAGTAGTTTTATCGATGTGATGCATAGTACTGCTAGGGCGCACTCGAGTGTTCCTTATGCTTGGGACGAGCCCACAAAATCTCAATACATCAAACTGATAGCGCCAGGAGGCATGTCAAGAACTTGTGATATGAATAATTTAGGTACTGCAACTGAGTTGACTTATGAGAATTTTATTTATATTGCTTTTGTGGGCACGTTTAAAAAGTAAGTTGAATATAAGAGTTTAGTGTATTTTTTGCTATTGTTAAATTTTAGTGCTCATAAAATAAAAGACCCTCATGATGTAGAATCTCAAGAGTTGGTTTTGGATGTAGGCAAAAAAAACAAAGTATTTCTTGCCAGTAAAATTCACGGGCAACGATCACAATTGTGGAGAATGACTTCTAAAGGTAAATGAAAAATATTTGTTTAAATTACACTAAATATTGGTGTCTCAGGATATTTGCAGCACGAAGGAAGCAGCCCTCCAAATCATCCAGATGCCCCAAGATCGCAAAGTGACATTTTGGTTTTAGATATTGCTGATACCGCTCCTCAGCCCAATTATTATTCAAGGTAATTCATTCAGATATGCGAACAAAACACTGCACTGTCACACTTGGTAAACACATAAAATGTGGGGCTTAATTTCAGGTGGTGGTTTCTTAGCGATAGTGCAGTAGAATTACATTATCATCTTTATTTACAGCCATTTTAGTGATAAATATGGTAGTAGTGCAGGACATCAAAAAATGACTTATTCTGTTGGTAGACTCACTTTAAGACGCGTCGATCCCAGGAGACTTTCCACACAACGCTGGAGATTTACTGAAAATGGCCGTTTGTGCTGTGATCATTACAATATGTGCGTGCAATCTGAAGATGGGATTTATGGCCTTAGAGAAGGTGATTTGTCAATTGAATAATTTCAAATCCAATTAGAAACATTTTCAGGTAGTGCAGCAGTTCTTGGACTACCACTGCCTATATGCCATAAGTTAACGGACAAAGGAGTGCCTTTGGAACAAGCAGTCGAATTTCAACGCCTACGGCCTGGCTCAGGCACATTGTCTGTAAAAATCAGCATGGACGGGCCAACGCAAGTGATTACAATCAAGGATGTTCAAGAAACGCGCACCTACGCTTTGCCTGACGACCGAGAATGGGGTACCATAAGTCAAAGACCAAAATTATCACTTCCAGATGAGACAATTGTATGTGTTATAATTTTATACAATAATTGTATATCTACATATTTTTCATTTGTAGAATACTGGCAAGAATGAGTTACAGTTTAATTTGGATCTTAAAGGTATTGGAATCAGTGTGGTTTGCAGAAAAGCACCAGAAGAACTGTTGTACGCACATTTTTCAAATATAATTTCTGAAACTGTAATTACATCAGATTGCAAACAATTCTGTGTCAGTGTTAGGGACATTCAAATTGACAATCAGGTAAGATATTTTTATAAAGAATGAAGGCTTTCACGGCCGGTCAAATCTAGTAGCGTTTCGTCTACTGCTGCGGTAAACATCTCCAGAGGCGGTGTGGTAGAGGACGAAGCGTTTTCTTCCGTGTTCCTCCGATGACTGGATCTGACGTTGTTGGAACTGCGTTATTTAAATCCATGGTTGTGCTATTTTCCTTGTCTCGTTCTCGGAAAGGAAGAGTGTCAACCAGCTTTTGTTGAGGTTCATATCCTCTTCTTTTCCGTTGAAGTTGTTGTGGTGTTTCCGAATCTCCATGGCTTCTCTAGTCTAGTGTAGAAATATTTGGTTCTATCCAATGCTTGACTGGTCGAAACGAGTGACATGGTTTAATTGTGTTAACACATGTTCGGCCATTGGTGATCTATCTATTTGTCCCTGTATTCTTTATTTAAACGCCTATACGAGGAGGAAACACCACGACTTGAAAAACTTACGTAAGAAAAAGACCCATGCTCTAGGCTCCCTTGCTTTTCTCCAAAGATGCAGAGACTCGAAAGTCATTCCTAAAGATTCGAAGAATTTTTAATTCCTTCCAATCTAACAGAATTTTCGAACGAGCCTTGCTTCGAGAACGGATTCACCAAACAAGGAAAGACCTATCAGCTATAGATAAGGATTTTCTATCGATAAACCAAAGGTTATCTAACAGCATGTATTGGATTAACTGGGACTGAATGACGTATGACGTGAAGGAAGCCACACTAGCAAAAACAACCAAGAAAATGGTAAATAAGATTGAGTACTTAGAAACCATTGAACACTGCGAAACTCACAGGCACAGTTATCAACCTGACCCAACGCGTTCTTAGGCTCGGATTGGGCCGGCAAGTTACCAAGTAAAAGTTGGTGGGCCGGTCAACTTCGGATTTCAGTGTATACCACTTACTCCACATTACTTATATCATTGTATCTAATATTTTGGGAGATGAATGAAAATTTTAAAAATTTCGGCCTACGGCGCTATTAGTAAAGGGCAAATTATAAACCTCCCACTGGGTAGGCGATATAAGAACTCCAACTCGAGCTGAAAAAATGTCCTATTCCGGCCATGTCCGACATGGAAACTTCATAAAAACATAATTTTATCTGTATTTATGAATTTGAGTCATTTCCTATTATTATTCTCTACAAGCGTCCACAAAACTTCAATTTTTCGAATGCATTTTAGGTCATATGAAAGTAGGTATTACTTTTCTGCACTACAGTACCGCATTTTTTGTAAGAATGATAACTTTCCTGTCCTAACTCATACGGAAAGTCTCTTTTCCCTACCAACTGCAGTCACGTGCAACAAATTGGCACTTTCCGCACTAAAACATAATTCAAATAAAGATCCATACTCGTTTTGGGTTTCATGTTTTTCCTCATAGATGGCAGTCGTATCGGTTCTGCTGTCACAGGTATATATGATTGACTTTTTCCAAATTTTTATTGCAAAACAAGTGGTTTTTGTATAATTTTTCATAGAAAATAACTTCACATTTCAAAAACAATCAAAGTAGGATTTGGCCATTTCAAAATGAATCCATCCAACCAAGGATAGTACACACTACGTGCTACTACTACAGGATAGCTTATCCTCATAAGACCTGTGTGGAACAAATCTGAAGCCCCCCACCACGCCAAATCCCCAGTTGTGACGCAGGCAGCATGTCCTTTTTCGCCTTGACAGGCTGTTTGCACGACTGGCTATGATTCTGCGGGCTTTTGCTCTATGCATACTTAGTTTTACTACATTAATTAACATCTCAAACATAATAGGCAATATTATGTTAATCAAAATTAAATATTTTTCTTCATAAATTTAAATTCTAAACTGTAAACTAAGACCTCTAGTGCAAACAGCTGACGACTCTTGTTAATGACGTCGGAAATGGTGACACACCAATAAGGTAGCGATTACCAAAAACGAGGCCGATAAGCCAAGGTTGTTTGAGAGAAGTAAGTTGCCAGTGGCTTGAAAATAGAAGTACTGAGCGGGCAAGAAAAAAAGTACTGATTCGGGGGAAAAAGTATTGAGTTGGTAACAATGCAATTTTTAAACGTCAAAAGTCTATTGAACTGCACTTGCGCATTTGTTCATATTGAACATAAATGAATAAATGAGCAAGCGCAGTTCAATGGCAGCAAATATCCAGTTAAGTTTTGCAAAATTTTGTAGAGGGCGCGAGTGAACTTGGAGTGCTTCAAATTTTGGCGGTAAATGTCAATAATGTTAAACCGTTTAAATTGAGTAGAAGGAAAGATAACTACAATATGGACAATGGACAATGAATAAGTTAAAATATCTTCCAAAGCATTCAGTGGCCCTTAGAGAATATTTTTGAAAGTGACAGCGTCAGCTTGTTTTGCAACCACACATCAGACTTGACTTTTGAGGTTAAAATTACAATGAATTATTTACGCGCCAAAATTTAAATAGCTCCAAGTACAGAAGCGCCCTCTCCAACTCAACTGTCAATATTACATGCCATTCAGAACTGATTCTCAACTAATTCCGAACAAACGGCCTAGACTCAAGGTTCCTAGAGTTATTTAATAGGTTGCCTGGTAATGGGTAACTTGATGACGCATCTGGTGTGGGGATTTGCATTATGTTGAGGCTCCTCAGATGACGTCATAAGGTTATCGGCCTCTTTCAAACAACCTTGGCCTAGACCAAATCCCACCATTCTCAATTCTTACTAAATGAGTGAACGACGTCTCTTTCTTTTACATGTTAGTAGAAAAGGACACAAATACACTCAATACGCACAACGAAATCCATTGGTAAAATAAGTACCAATGGATTTCGTTGTTAGGCGCTTTCTTTTTTTTCATCGATCATTATGAGTCAATCATTTCGTTTTCCAATTTCCAACGTACTAGACAAAGGTAGACATCTCATTGGTGGGTTTACCGGTGGAAAAAAGAATATGCGCCCCAGTGTTGCCAGACGTACGATAATTATCGTATTTGTACGATAATTACAAGAGGGTACGATGTACGATCGACGATCGATAATGGATAAATGTACGATAATTTCTGAATTTTGATAAATTTTGAAGAAAATATACTGAAATCGCTGACCTTCATTAAAAACTGAAATACCAGCTCTTTTTTCCAGTGCCTGAATTATTACTAGGGGTAGGGGATAACATGAGTGTTTTTTTTTCTCTTATATTTTTTTCTAAATGTTTTTTTAATAGGGCAATCCAACGACCTGTCAAAATGGAATTCAAAATGGAGGCCAATGCCTTTTTATTTTAAAAAAAAATGTCGTTTTATTGTGATTTTTGATTTGTATAAAGTCTGTAAAGTGTTGATTTTTTGGAAAATGCATACGTTATGTATTGTACTTAGTTGTGCGAGCCATTGTAATCGCGAAAAAGTCTAGTTTCATGCCGTTCCTGCAGAGACAAAACACAGGTTTTTAACGGAAGAAAATGATTTGTCTGTATACTTTGTGAGGGCTTCATGGATTGTAGCAAAAGAGAAAAAATCTTACGAAATCCATATTAAAAAACTAAAAAGTCTCTCTACATAAATGGTGTATGGATCCAAGCTATTACTATCCTCTATATCAGCTTGTACCGATACCTTGAATAGCAGACAAATAAAATAAACATCAGGATTCAGGATTTGGTTAAGAAAAAACTACACAGGAAACAAATCCTGCATAGTACCCTACCAACAATTGTTTAGCAGGTAAAGGTTTGTCACGCAGAAATCATAACTTTTACAAACATCCGGGTTTTCCACTAATAATTTTTTAAACTTTTTTATCTTAAAATACGAAAATTATCCTCCCAAACACTAAAAAATCATCTAAAAACACCACAAAATACACAAAAAACAGTGTTTTGATGAAAAATGTCAGGGTTGTTTGAATTAAATTTATGGCGCCAATTTTTTGGCATCGACCATGCATTGACCGCCATTTTGTTTGGATTGCCCTTAAAAATTATTTTGCAAATACAACCTAACCCCTTCAATTTAAAGGGACCAACAGCCTCCGATGACGTCACATTGGTAAAGTCAGTTTTGTACGATAAAATCATGCAAAAAACGATAGTTTGACATGTCAATTCTAAACGTTCAAGGCCTCCTTAAGGTCTGAGGAAACCTCAAGGAGCGACTATAAATTCGGCCCTACGTTAGGTTCCAAAATTAGGTTACGTTCCAAAATTCATTACCGGCCGGCCGGAGTAGGTTGGAGCTCGTAGCAGTAAGAAAAAATTTTGGATATTTGAAAAATGTACTGAAACATAAAATGTAGTACTGACGTACTGAAGATGGTTAAAATGTATTGATTTGGTTTCAGTACTTCTTTATTGACGCTGCTAAAAAGAACGTTTATTGGGGTGGAAGGTGTAAAGAATTGAATTTTTAAGGAAAATGTAATTATTCATCAAGTAAAGTGAAAATTATTAATTCGCTAACTTCACGTTTCAAAAAATCGAAGCAGGCCTTGGGCGGCCATTTTAAAATTGTATTCCGATTTGCAATAGATTTCAGTACGGAAAATGTGTCTTGTGATACAAGGATTTGGATTTTCCATAATCGGCACGTTAATATTCAAATAAAATGCCATTTTTCATAGAAAATATTCCCATGGTAAGTGGAAACTGTCGTCTATTGAGTCCCTGTAATATCAGCTAACTTCACCTTTCGAAATAAACATCAAAGTAGGCCTTGGACGGCCATTTTAAAATCGTACTTTTCAACAAAAATGGCCAATGGCCGTAGTAGTATTTTGTTCTGTTTTTTTTCGAATATTTCTCGATTTCAGTGCGGTAAAGTGTTTTGAAATGAGTTTTGCAGTACGAGGTATTGAATTTTCCATAATTGACACGTTAATTTTTAAGTAAAATGCCATTTATCTTCTTAGCAAAAGTCTCCATGGTAAGCCAATTTTTCCATATCAATTTTTGTCTATTCTCGGCTCTTGAATTTTTTTTTTTGAGACAAATAGAAAAAATATGAATATTCACATTTTTCCATTTCAATTTTTGTTTAATTCATCCTACAATCGTGCTTTCTCTTTCTCATTCATTCAAATTAAGTTCGCTTTTTTAGTGGTGACAAAAAACCTATTTGAAGCGAAACCCCGATCTATACCGCAGTTATCCCTTTGGTTAATCTTACCCGAATTTTCGCGATGAATGTAGTTCATCCATAGTTCGTCTTTGACGTCATGAGTTTGAACGCTGGCTAAAAGCTGCGTCCATGCTTTGTCGAACTACGTTCAATATGACGTCATGAATTTCTCGCGAAAGCGTTTGTGTTCGTGATATCATGGAAGTAGTTCGTCGCGAAAAATTTGGTATTGTCATGAAGCGCACTTTAACCGGTAGTAGAACGCATTAATGTGCTGGTCTGCTTCTGATCAACGATGATGTAGGTCTGTTTCTGCAGAAATCACAAACCAGTCAAAGCGAATTTCATTGGTTGAAAACAGTCACCAAACTAGTTTCAACCAATGAAATTCACTCTGACTGGTTTGTGGTTCCAGCAGAAACAGACCGAATAATGTACAACATCGGTTCCAAAATATTTAAAATTAGCAACAAGGCTGCAGTTTCTATATCATTCACAGATACTGGCTCCACACAACATAAAAAACAAGTGTTGACCGGCACCTGGCAATAGCTATACCAGGGACTATTTTGGCAATTTGACGATTGATATAGGAGGGGGTAATAACCTTGTTCTGAAGGCTGGAGGTGGGTAAATACCGCTTATAGAAATGTCAAACGATGACATTGCAAAAGGCTTCTAAGTGACGTCATTAAATATAACCACATTTAACCAAAATAGCATTAACTTGAAAAGTAATTTCCGGTTAAGAACGGTCGTCCGCTTCAAATTGGTTAATAGTTAGGTTTAGGTTTGTCGTGAGTTTTCGACGTCGGCCCTTTCACTGCGCCGCAGTGGTCAACTTCGGCGTACTTTCAAATTATTTATTTTCAGAGATGAATTAAATTTTCCTTGTAAAATGAAGTCTATATTTTTGCATAAATGGATTTTCCTAAGAACATTTTTAGGAGCCAGGAGAACGCGTGACCATGACAATTTTGTCACGTGGTAGGATTTCCCTCAACCTCTGAAAAGTAGGAGTGTTACAGAGTCCAAAAGGCAATATATCGAATTGATAAAGTCCACTTTCAGTAGAGAACGCTGTTTTTTTTTTTTTTTTGTCTTTTCCGTCGATGCCCACCTGCTACTATGCGCTTTTGAAATAGAAAAAGGATAACCAATTTGAGGCTGCCAATGTCGTAAGCATAGATTTAGTCGTAGGGATATCGTCAATCAATTCTGGGTAATGGGTAACTTTCTTTTTTGGTAGATTTCTATGTTATTAATATGCGGCGCTATTGGGAAAACGAAAATTATAGATTTCCCACTGTTGAAACACCACAACAACTTCAACAGGAAAAAAGGTCGAATTCAGTCATTGGAGGAACACGGAAGAGAACACTTCGTCCTCTACTACACCGCCTCTGAAGATGTCTACTGCAGCAGTAGACGAAACGTACGGTAGAAATATTACTAGACCACGGCATTATAGCCCAGAAAAAAATTTACTTTCCAAGGTATTTTTATGTCTAATAAACAATTTATTTATTTAGTTATTAGACGCAACAGTGCCAGTAGTTTTGTATGTAACCCCTCCAAGAACTAGCGACGAAGCTACAGACTTTTTGCCTGCAATCGATTTGAAATCCGAAATTCAACCACAACTGAACGAAAACGCTGTCATTTTCAAGCACCTGATTCTAAGGCTGAAAAAGATAACTGCAATTATTGAAGAAAAATTATTGCTCAAAGTACTCGCCTTTATTGGCTTTCATTCTAACGAGGAAGAGGTCATTAATAGAGATGAAAGTGATTACGAAACGCAACGACTGTTGACTGAAGTATCAGCTGCAAGTTCAAAGAGGTAAATAAATGAATTGTTTAAAAATTTAATCCACCCAAATTTGGTAGGAACCTATTGGTATTGTTTCAATCCCGCCTACAGGATTATCTTCCAGAAAAATTTAACCAAAGCCAAAATTGCATCAAGTAAAAGAGCCACCTTCTGAAAAGATTAAATTAACAATATTTCTATTTGTATTTAAGGTACTACTTTGGAGTATTGAAACTCATACCGGACGAAATAAGACTGAGCGTGCGCACTGCTGGAAAATTATCCAAGCAATTGCAAAGGATTAAGAAAAAACTGGGACTCACTTTGATAAAATTTGAAGATGCTGCCATACTCCTACAACCATTTGACAGAAAACATCCATTTGAAACTAGCCAGTTTTTGTTTAAGAGTATTATAAAGCATTTTAAAGACGTATGTATTGTATTTGTATTGATTTTTTTTAGTATTGATTATTTGCAGGAACTGATGTGGCAAGCTGGTATAATATTTGGCTCAATCGATTTCATTGGTAACCCTTTAGGCTTGATGAACGATGTTTCGGAAGGCTTATCTGGATTTATTTTCGAAGGCAACGTCAAAGCCTTAGTGAAAAACGTCACCCACGGATTATCAAACTCAGCAGCCAAAGTTACCGAGTCGCTGAGCGATGGCTTAGGAAAAATGGCTATGGATGATTATCATGAGGAGATGAGATTGAAAATAATCAGACAAGTAAGTTGTTTATATTTTTTGCAGCTTAAATATTTTGTTGTAATTTTAAGGTTGAAACTGGTAGATCTTCTGACCACATTCTAGCAGGTTTTAAAGGTTTGGCTTTTGGTTTTTTGGGAGGCGCCACAGGGATTTTTAAGCAGGTTTACGAGGGAGCATCGAATGAAGGATTTCCAGGCGTTTTGTCTGGTTTTGGTAAAGGTGTTGTGGGTGCCTTTACCAAACCTGTTGTGGGTGTTTTGGATTTTGCTTCGGAAACTGCCAGAGCTGTCCGAGATTCGAGCAGAAGGTAGTTATTTGGTTTTTGAGTGGTTGAAGTTGATTGTTTTTTTTTTTTTGTAGTAAGTTTACGCCGGAAAGGAAACGTTTGTCCAGGTGCGTGAGAGGTCCTGGAAGCTTACTACCGAGATATGATGCCAAGCAAAGTCAAGGACAGCAATATTTGTATATAGTTAACGATAAGTATGTTTGTTTTTTGAGGTTTTGATTGGGCCTAATGTTTTTTTTTTTTTTTTATAGAAATTATGAGGAAAAATTGTTAGCCTGTCAAATTTTGGGCAACGAATCAGAGCATCTTTTGTGTATAGTTTCTGATCGTATGATTAGGATTGTCACAACTTCGAAGTTATCTGAATTGACATCTGTTATTGAGTGTTCTCTTAGGTAAGTACATGGTAGTAAAATTTGGCTGTTAGAATTCTGTAATTTTCCAATGAAATCTCACTTAAGTCAGGTTAATTATTGCTATACGCTGTTTCAAAATGGTGTTTTTGCGTAACTTCACCCAGAATTTTAGAACACTGGTTCTCCTGAGGGGTAAACTATGTTGGAAGTATAATATACTGGACATTTGTTTATAACTGGAACACTCAGTACCTTTCTTATTATTGAAACTAAAGGGCATGTAACTGATGAGTGAAAAGTACAGGGTCTTTCCCCATATATTGACTCCCCTCTTACAGGGGTTAGGTGAAGGGATATCAAAAAATTTTAAATACAAAAGTTTTGGGGTTTTACCTGAAATTTTTGAATTCAATGTCTTTTTTTTTTTGTTCTCTTAGAAATGTCAAATTCTGACAGATGGTCAGTTTTTTCTTATGGAACACCCTATATATAACTCGATAGTTGAAAAAAGTCGATTTTTCTGATTCCAAATATCTATGGTTTAACTACTTTTAATTGAGCCGTTTTGGAAATATCAGGCTCTAAATGTCAGGAAAATAATACAATGAAACACTCTTTCCCCATATATTGACCCCCCTCCCACAGGGGTTAGGTGAAGAGATATCAAAAAATTTTAAATACAAAAGTTTTGGGATTTTACCTGAAATTTTTGAATCCATTGTCAATTTTTTTTTTGTTTTCTTATAAATGTCAAATTTTGACAGATAGTCAGTTTTTTCTTATGAAACACCCTATATATGACTCCATAGTTGAAAAGAGTCGATTTTTCTGATTTCAAATATATGTGGTTTAACTACTTTTAATTGAGCCGTTTTGGAAATATCGGGCTCTAAATTTCAAGAAAATAATACATTGAAACACTCTTTTCCCATATATTGACCCCCCTCTTACAGGGGTTAGGTGAAGAGATATCAAAAAAATTTAAATACAAAAGTTTTGAGGTTTTACTCGAAATTTTTGAATCCAATGTCAATTTTTTTATGTTTTCTTATAAATGTCAAATTTTGACAGATGGTCAGATTTTTCTTATGAAACACCCTATATATGACTCCATAGTTGAAAAGAGTCGATATTTCTGATTTCAAATATATATGGTTTAACTACTTTTAATTGAGCCGTTTTGGAAATATCGGGCTCTAAATTTCAAGAAAATAATACATTGAAACACTCTTTTCCCACATATTGACCCCCCTCTTACAGGGGTTAGGTGAAGAGATATCAAAAAAATTTAAATACAAAAGTTTTGAGGTTTTACTCGAAATTTTTGAATCCAATGTCAATTTTTTTTTGTTTTCTTATAAATGTCAAATTTTGACAGATAGTCAGTTTTTTCTTATGAAACACCCTATATATGACTCCATAGTTGAAAAGAGTCGATTTTTCTGATTTCAAATATATATGGTTTAACTACTTTTAATTGAGCCGTTTTGGAAATATCAGGTTCTAAATTTCAAGAAAATAATACATTGAAACACTCTTTTCCCATATATTGACCCCCCCTTACAGGGGTTAGGTGAAGAGATATCAAAAAAATTTAAATACAAAAGTTTTGAGGTTTTACTTGAAATTTTTGAATCCAATGTCAATTTTTTTTTGTTTTCTTATAAATGTCAAATTTTGACAGATGGTCAGTTTTTTCTTATGGAACACCCTATATATGACTCCATAGTTGAAAAGAGTCGATTTTTCTGATTTCAAATATATATGGTTTAACTACTTTTAATTGAGCCGTCTTGGAAATATCGGGCTCTAAATTTCAAGAAAATAATACATTGAAATACTCTTTCCCCATATATTGACCCCCCTCTTACAGGGATTAGGTGAAGAGATATCAAAAAATTTTAAATACAAAAGTTTTGGGGTTTTACCTGAAATTTTTGAATCTAATGTTAAGTTTTTTTTGTTTTTTTATAAATGTCAAATTTTGACAGATGGTCAGTTTTTTCTTATGGAACACCTTATATATGACTCCATAGTTGAAAAGAGTCGATTTTTCTGATTTCAAATATATGTGGTTTAATTACTTTTGATTGAGCCGTTTTGGAAATATCGGGCTCTAAATTTCAAGAAAATAATACATTGAAACACTTTCCCATATATTGACCCCCCTCTTACAGGGGTTAGGTGAAGAGATATCAAAAAATTTTAAATACAAAAGTTTTGGGGTTTTACCTGAAATTTTTGAATCCAATGTCAATTTTTTTTTGTTTTCTTATAAATGTCAAATTTTGACAGATAGTCAGTTTTTTCTTATGAAACACCCTATATATGACTCCATAGTTGAAAAGAGTCGATTTTTCTGATTTCAAATATATGTGGTTTAATTACTTTTGATTGAGCCGTTTTGGAAATATCGGGCTCTAAATTTCAAGAAAATAATACATTGAAACACTTTCCCATATATTGACCCCCCTCTTACAGGGATTAGGTGAAGAGATATCAAAAAATTTTAAATACAAAAGTTTTGGGGTTTTACCTGAAATTTTTGAATCTAATGTTAAGTTTTTTTTGTTTTTTTATAAATGTCAAATTTTGACAGATGGTCAGTTTTTTCTTATGGAACACCCTATATATGACTCGATAGTTGAAAAGAGTCGATTTTTCTGATTTCAAATATATATGGTTTAACTACTTTTAATTGAGCCGTTTTGGAAATATCGGGCTCTAAATTTCAAGAAAATAATACATTGGAACACTTTCCCCATATATTGACCCCCCTCTTACAGGGGTTAGGTGAAGAGATATCAAAAAAATTTAAATACAAAAGTTTTGAGGTTTTACTCGAAATTTTTGAATCCAATGTCAATTTTTTTTTGTTTTCTCATAAATGTCAAATTTTGACAGATAGTCAGTTTTTTCTTATGAAACACCCTATATATGACTCCATAGTTGAAAAGAGTCGATTTTTCTGATTTCAAATATATGTGGTTTAATTACTTTTGATTGAGCCGTCTTGGAAATATCGGGCTCTAAATTTCAAGAAAATAATACATTGGAACACTTTCCCCATATATTGACCCCCCTCTTACAGGGGTTAGGTGAAGAGATATCAAAAAATTTTAAATATAAAAGTTTTGAGGTTTTACTCGAAATTTTTGTATCCAATGTCAATTTTTTTTTTGTTTTCTTATAAATGTCAAATTTTGACAGATAGTCAGTTTTTTCTTATGAAACACCCTATATATGACTCCATAGTTGAAAAGAGTCGATTTTTCTGATTTCAAATATATGTGGTTTAACTACTTTTAATTGAGCCGTTTTGGAAATATCGGGCTCTAAATTTCAAGAAAATAATACATTGAAACACTCTTTTCCCATATATTGACCCCCCCTTACAGGGGTTAGGTGAAGAGATATCAAAAAAATTTAAATACAAAAGTTTTGAGGTTTTACTTGAAATTTTTGAATCCAATGTCAATTTTTTTTTGTTTTCTTATAAATGTCAAATTTTGACAGATGGTCAGTTTTTTCTTATGGAACACCCTATATATGACTCCATAGTTGAAAAGAGTCGATTTTTCTGATTTCAAATATATATGGTTTAACTACTTTTAATTGAGCCGTTTTGGAAATATCGGGCTCTAAATTTCAAGAAAATAATACATTGAAACACTTTCCCATATATTGACCCCCCTCTTACAGGGATTAGGTGAAGAGATATCAAAAAATTTTAAATACAAAAGTTTTGGGGTTTTACCTGAAATTTTTGAATCTAATGTTAAGTTTTTTTTGTTTTTTTATAAATGTCAAATTTTGACAGATGGTCAGTTTTTTCTTATGGAACACCCTATATATGACTCGATAGTTGAAAAGAGTCGATTTTTCTGATTTCAAATATATATGGTTTAACTACTTTTAATTGAGCCGTTTTGGAAATATCGGGCTCTAAATTTCAAGAAAATAATACATTGGAACACTTTCCCCATATATTGACCCCCCTCTTACAGGGGTTAGGTGAAGAGATATCAAAAAAATTTAAATACAAAAGTTTTGAGGTTTTACTCGAAATTTTTGAATCCAATGTCAATTTTTTTTTGTTTTCTCATAAATGTCAAATTTTGACAGATAGTCAGTTTTTTCTTATGAAACACCCTATATATGACTCCATAGTTGAAAAGAGTCGATTTTTCTGATTTCAAATATATGTGGTTTAATTACTTTTGATTGAGCCGTCTTGGAAATATCGGGCTCTAAATTTCAAGAAAATAATACATTGAAATACTCTTTCCCCATATATTGACCCCCCTCTTACAGGGATTAGGTGAAGAGATATCAAAAAATTTTAAATACAAAAGTTTTGGGGTTTTACCTGAAATTTTTGAATCTAATGTTAAGTTTTTTTTGTTTTTTTATAAATGTCAAATTTTGACAGATGGTCAGTTTTTTCTTATGGAACACCTTATATATGACTCCATAGTTGAAAAGAGTCGATTTTTCTGATTTCCAATATATGTGGTTTAACTACTTTTGATTGAGCCGTTTTGGAAATATCGGGCACTTAACTTCAAGAAAATAATACATTGAAACACTTTCCCCATATATTGACCCCCCTCTTACAGGGGTTAGGTGAAGAGATATCAAAAAATTTTAAATACAAAAGTTTTGGGGTTTTACCTGAAATTTTTGAATCCAATGTCAATTTTTTTTTGTTTTCTTATAAATGTCAAATTTTGACAGATAGTCAGTTTTTTCTTATGAAACACCCTATATATGACTCCATAGTTGAAAAGAGTCGATTTTTCTGATTTCAAATATATGTGGTTTAATTACTTTTGATTGAGCCGTTTTGGAAATATCGGGCTCTAAATTTCAAGAAAATAATACATTGAAACACTTTCCCATATATTGACCCCCCTCTTACAGGGATTAGGTGAAGAGATATCAAAAAATTTTAAATACAAAAGTTTTGGGGTTTTACCTGAAATTTTTGAATCTAATGTTAAGTTTTTTTTGTTTTTTTATAAATGTCAAATTTTGAC